ATGGATTGTAGGATGGCGCCGGAAATACTTTTCCGCTTTCTTCCTATATTTTCGTGCCTGTTTGCATTCGTTGTTAAACCATGGTTCACGAATATGTGGAATTACAGAGGACTTTGGAATTGCTTCATCAGCAATTTCATTCAGCATGTCCGAAAACAACTGTATCGGATCTTGAACATGTTGAAAAATGTCAGGGGTTAATTTTTCAGTGGATAATAATTCATGTAATGACTAATCAGCCTTTGTAAATTTCCACCGTTCAGTTGGTGGACGGTCAGTAGGGTTAACAGTTTTAAGGATGGTAGGGAAATGGTCACTTCCACAAAGGTCATCATGAACTGACCATTCGAATTCGTTGTAAAGGTTTGAATCTATGATTGCCAGATCCAGTGCTGAATATGTACCTGTAGCAGGATGTAAATACGTGTTTTAATCGTCATTAAATATGCAGAGATTGTTGTCAGAAATAAAGTCTTCGATCAAGCACTTTTCCCTTACTGTTTTTATTTGGACTACCCCATAGAGGGTTATGTCCATTTAAATCACCCATGATCATACATGGCTTTGGTAGCTGATCATACAGGGCTTTGGTAGCTGATCATAGAGATTCTGAATATCAGCCTTCAAAGGAGGAATATACAAGGAGCATAAAGTAAGGGCAATGTGCAATATAAGTTGGACAGCTACAGCTTGAGGATTTGTTTGAGGGGAACAGTGCTATGGATGATGCCTTGCCTGATCAACATAGTAGAACCTCCAGTAGCTTTTTCACCTGGAGGTGAAAATGAATGATAGCAATTGTATTGCCATCAATCAAATACATCGCTGTGCTTAAGATAAGTCTCTTGGAGACACAGTGCTGATGGTGTAAAGTCCTGAATTAGCAATTGTATCTCATTAAATATTTTTCCTGAGTCCTCCACAATTCCACTGAATCAAATGAGACGTCAATAGGTGACCTCACACGCGAGCGTGAAGAAGATGAACTCCTGAAACTGGCCGGTGAAGATGTTATGGACAGACACCTCTGAAGGAGAGGGTGTCCTAAGATGTTGTCTATTTAGTTTGTTTCTTTCTGTCTTTGACATGTGAACATTTCCTGGTTTTTCAATTTCTGGTAAACATTGTGAATCAGTCTGTGATTCTGAAGATGATGCAGTGGGATGACAATCTGATTTGTTGGGCTGAATGACAGATGATGTTTCTACTGGTTGATCAGAGTGAACCCATGTCAATGCAGTCTGACATTCGATTGATGAAGTAGAAACGCGAGACACTACAGCAGAATAAGTTGATGGTAACTGGTTACTTACTTGTTTTGTGGCTTCCAGATACGAAATATTGTTGTTGTGTTTCAGTTTCAATATCTGTGACTCAGTTTGCCATACAGGACAGGACTTTGACCATGCTGCATGTTGGCCATTACAGTTGACACATTTGGCATCTGCCCTAGATTCGTTGCTGTCATGTTTACCACCACAACGCTGGCAAACCGCTGGGCGATCACAGGATTTGGAACCATGGCCAAACTTTTGTCAAGTATAACATCGGAGTGGATTTGGGACATACACCTTCACTCCGATGTTAACATAACCAGCTTTAATTAAACGAGGAATGCTTGTTCAATCAAAAGTGAACATAGGTGTTCAGGGGTAATGATAACACCATTGATTTTTTTTGTAAAACGTTTTACAGCTGTCACTGCTTGATCCTTCAACTCTGTGACAATTTCTTGTTCTGACATGTCTGAAAGGCATCGAGCTCTGTCAGGAACAATGCCTCGACTGGAGTTTAGAGTCTTATGTGCTGAAACAGCAACCTCAACATTGGCAAACTGACTGATGGATAAGAGATTCAGAGATTGCTGCTTCTTCACACATTCAACAAGAATGGAACAACTACGGAGTCGAGTGATATTTTTCACTTCTCCACAATGTCCGTTAATAGCTTTTGAGAAAGCAGATAGGTTCAGTTTTATAGGTTGTTTGTCAGCAGCCTCGATCACCAGAAATCGGGCCCATGAATCATATTTGTTGGGAATGTTCCCAGAATCATCATCTTCAAGACGTCTTTTTTTTGTCGTTGCGCATTGAACCAGGTTGTTGGGTACACATGGTGAAAGAAAAGTGTTTCAGCATACCTGCTCCCCACCCGCCATCGAGTCAACAAGGACAGTGTTGTAGCGCATCGGATTTCCAGCATGCAAACACCAGGGATACAGGGATGTTATACTCAAGCAAATATGACTTGACCATTTTCCAACAAAACTTACAACTATTAATCCGTCCGATGAACAACCTTCAATAAAGTGGAACTTTACAAAGGCCAATTGGTCTTGATTCCAAACACTTTGTTTTGAAAAACTAAAATCTGACAGTTTCAGGAATGTTACTGATCCTATACAACTTTTTCAGATAGGAATGCTTTCGTCCCCAATAGCATTTAATTTAAGTCCACTGAAAACCCTGATATACATAAAGCATGGTTTGATAATGATTGTAAACAAGCTAGGGAAAATAGTACAATGTAAGAAAGCCGAGAAATATTTCCATCGCAATCCAACTATCCACAAGTTGAATAATGTTAAAATCAGGGGCGCTAAAGCAAGACGTACGTTTAATCAGAATATATGTCAATCCTGGAGGACGTATGTTTCAAAAATTGATTCCCGCACACCTATGTCCAAGTTGTGGAACATAATTCAGAAGATTAAGGGCAAAGGATCCAAATCTGGAGTTCACCATCTCAAAGACTGGATACACTATTGACCACAAAATCTGAAATTGCCAACAGACTTGGTGAAATTTGGCAAATCATTCCTCATCATCAAACTATAATCCTCAATTTCCAGAGGTTTCAAAAACAGTAGGAAAAGACAAAAAGTCAATTTTAACTGTGATAAAGGTGAGGACTATAACGAAACATTTTCACACAATGAATTATATACTGCCCTAGGGCAATCGCATGACACTGCAGCAGGAGCCGACAACATCCACCATCAGCTCCTGGATCACATAGATCCATCCAACTACCGTCCAATATCATCAACAAGCTGTGTTCGTAAAACCATGGAGCGCATGGTCAACAATCGACGAGTCTGGTACCTGGAGACCAAAAACCTCCTGAATGACATCAAGTGTGGTTTCCGAAAAAAACCCAGAAGTACCATTGACCATTTGGTGCGTTTAGAATCGTTTATTAAAAATTCCATTTCAAACCAACTATTAAAAGTTATACTCGGGATCTCATGCAAAAGAGGTGGGACACCAAGGTAGGAAGCAATAAACTTCACGAATTAAAACAAACAATCGGCAAAACCTACTTGGGTTGTCAGTCAAGACATGACGAGGTCGTTTTACGAATATGTCGTATTAGCCACAGTCGGTTTACACACAAATATCTGCTTGAGACAGATGAGGACGAACCTCCTAAGTGCACCATGCGATGAAAGGTTAACGGTCAAGCATTAATTGTGTGGACTTTGCAATCACAAGGATCACATAATCAAAGTGTAAATCTAAAAGATCTCTTTTCCCGTGTCAGCGGGCATCTCATCATAAATTACTTGAAGGAAATTGGTCTGTATCATAAATTTGAAAAATGTATGTGAATAATTAAATGCTTGTTTTTTTTAAATTTGGTGTGATGCTACTATTAACTGATATTATTGAAGGCTCTGTTCAGGTGTTGTTTTAAAAGTCTGAGACTCAACATTTTTTATAGTTGTTCTGTTTTTGGAGGAGTCACAGACAAAGGTGTCACTGCTGATTTATGGAGTGAAGCAGTAGGAAGTGTCTGAACAGACTTTACCCTTGTCAGATCTGTCTGGCAGTAGATAGAGGGTAGTTACAACCTTCTTCTTAGTTTCGTGGTAAGAAAGATTCTGTTCAGTTTTGATTTTAATAATTTGTGATTCACGTTTAAGGACAGGGCAGGATTTTGCAGGAGCCATATGATTCCCACCGCAGTTTGCACACTTCACATCCTTCCTGCAGTCAGTGGCCACGTGTTTGTCACACCGCAGCGGTAACAAACAGCAGAGGCATGGCAGGACTTGGATCCATGTCCAAACGTTTGGCAGGTGTAGCACCGGGGTGGATTGGGGATATACACCTCCACTCTGATGTTACAATAACAAACTTTTATCGATTGAGGGATGGACGTTCTGTTGAAGGTGAAGGGCTAGATGTTGGTCGGTTGGGCCCCTCTATCCTTCTTGAAAGTAAATTGTTTGACAGCTGTGACCGACAGTTGTTCAAGTTCCTTGGCTTTATCATCTTTGGACATGGCGGACAGCCTGCGAGCTCTGTCACGGACAATGCCCTAACACGAGTTCAGTATCTTGTGCACTGAGACAACAACCTTGATATTTACAAACTCATTTAATTTGAGCAGATTGACAGGTTGTTGTCTCATATCACAAGGAGAGAGCCAGAACGAAGCTTTGTGACATTTGTAACAATTTCCGCAGATACCAATGATACCTTTGGAGATTGCCAATGGATTTGATTTGTTCTTTGTCTAAAGCTTCTATAACCCCAAAACGTGGCCAATAGTCGGATCGAAGTAGGCTCATCAGATTCAATGTGACGCATTTTTGAACCAGCGTGAAAGCCATGTCAATTTTAATTCTTCACTCCTTTTTCCCACATACCATGAAGTGTCAACAAGGACAGTCTTATGCTGCAGCGGATCTCCAAGGTGCAAAGACTGGGTGGTATACCCCAGCAAAGTTGACAAGAAGAGTTATATACTGCTCAGAAAAAGTAGGGGATATTGAAATTAAAATCAGTGGCACAAAGACAGTAATATAGAGGCCTACAAATAATTAACTTATGATTGAGGAAAAGCATAGGTCCGTCTGAGCAGCCCCTCCCAATGACCACCAGATCCCTTGCATCCAGGAAAATTGCATCCAAACGTACCAGGGGATGGGGATGAGAAATCACATCTTGTGTCACACGTGCAAATGACAAAATCCACGTGCCTCAAGTGCAAAAATGGGTGTTAACATGGGTCTTGGACCAACTTCATCCATCACTTCACCACTTTCCACAATGCGAAGGTTACGAGAAGACGAGAGATTGAGAGCAATTGGGATGATCCAGGCCGGAAGAACGCAGGCCTACACAGCAGCACAACTGCACGTCTCACAGTCAGTAGTCAGCCGGTTGTGGGCACGTTACATTGCCACTGGAAGGGTTCAAGACAGGCCCCGAAGTGGTCGTCCAAAATGCACGACCAGACGTGATGACCGACGGATCATCACTGGAGCCCTCCGTGATCGACGTTTAAATGCGACACAGCTCCAGCAGGTTCACAGATATCCCACTTGGAATCCCATCTCCACACAGACGGTACGAAGCCGGCTCCATGCTGCAGAACTTCGAGCAAGGCGACCTTACATCACATTACCCCAAACAAACCGTCACAGACAAGCCCGTCGAGAGTTGGGTCGTCGTCACCAGAGGTTGAGCAATGCACGGGGGTCCCATGTGATGTTCAGTGATGAGTCGAGGTTCTCTTTATACTTCAATGATGGCCGTCATCGTGTCTGGCGTCGTCCTGGTGAGCGTCATCAGCCAGCTGCAATGATTTCACATGATCGGTAGGGGAGGGGTTCTGTTATGGTGTGGGGTGGAATCACGGTGACAGGCAGAACCGATCTCCACATCTGCCAAGGAAGAGTTATGGGTGTTTACTGTCAGGACAACATCATCACGCCACATGTCCTGCCATTTGCACACCGTCACGGACAGGGTTTCTTCTTCCAGGACGATAATGCCAGGGCTCACCGTGCGCACGTCGTCCTTAACCATTTGCGGCGGCACCAAATTGAAACTCTTCCATGGCCAGCGATGTCCACGGACCTCTCCCCTATAGAGCATGTATGGTGTATGGGATATGCTCGGCAGACAGTTGCAGAGGTGGCATCCCCCATGTCAAGACTTGCAACAACTGGGCGTGGCACTCCGAGAGGAATGGCAGAGGATTCCCGAAGTTCACATTAGTCGCATCATTAGGAGTATGAGACGTCAGTGTAATGCTTGTTTGGCTGCTAATGGTGGGCTAACCCGGTATTAACCATTTATGACTTTTGGGTTTCTACCCCTCATGAACTTTCCAGTGTCTACAAGATGAAATTGCAGTTTGATCAAAGTCATTACTTTCAAAACTGTTTCTTAACATCATTATTTCCACATTATTATTGTTTCTCAATGAAAATTAAACAATTCTGAAGCTTTTCGTCGTAACTTTTCAATATGCCCTACTTTGTGTGAGCAGTATAGCATTCTACCAAATTAAAGGTTAAGCATGTTTGGCCATGACAATCAACTGGAGACACCATGAGCCACCGTCTTCTGGGCTTAGGGCTCTAAGCAAGTTTATAGATTCATACAGATTCAATAGATATTTAGTTTAGGTACCTTCAGTTTGTGTGAAATAGTTAATGCACAGGGCAAGATGTGACCAGCCGATTGACAGAATTGGGCCCATTGTACAGTCCGTCTAGGCAAAGTTAGGTTCGAAGTGGTGTGTTGGACTCAGGAGCACGAGTACCAGCTCCGTCGCCCTCAACCACCAGACTCCCTTCCTCTGCCGACAGAGCGTCGCAGGCCACGGCTAATAGACTGCCCAATTCGGTCGCCTTTTACGATCAGCAATAGGGTGCTGAGGACACATTCTTGGCTATCTTCCCCGGGACCAAAGGGAGATTTTTGGCTCGGGAAAGGGTTTAGCATTAAAGAAGATCAAGAATGATGTATTGTTCTGCCATCAAGCTAAAGTTTACAGACAAACGGAAGAAACTGCGGATAAAAAAGTCGTCACTGAAGCTGTTGAACAATAACTTGTGTCTTTGAAAATAAAAGGTATCTTTGTCAGTTTGTATATGTCGCAGTTGGACTGTGAAACATGGGACTCATAACTATAACTAAAAGACAAGCTGTATTTTAACCGTGTGTGAAAACAAAACATATAACAAATATTTGAATAATGTTACATCCGTGTGTCAGAATGTTATTGTTAAAATATATTGCTAATGAAATAACGTTCAGTTAACAGGTGTAGATAATTTACAGAAGCTGTTAACTCTCATACATGGAAATTATACATGTGTTTTCAAGATATGTGTCTGTGCATTTATAGGTATGAGCCAATACATAAATAGCCTTTCCATATCATGTAAACGTGAGCTGGAATGGCGTGTCTCGCCTGTTAACCAGGCAGTTCTGGGTCATTGTACCCGGATGTGATGTGGAAAGAATGCCTGCCATGATTGAATATTAATGTAAGGACGTCCTCCTATTATCTTTACAAATTACGCTCACGGTGGCGCCACATTAAACATACTGCAACAAACATCAATATCAATAGGTTCTTTATCCTCTTAAAATAGCATTATATACACCGTTAGCTGATGTTAACAACAACATTGCACCATATATTGCATTGCGTAGGAAGTGTGATTACATGTGTATGTTCATAACAGATCGAATGTTTAATCATAAATGCAGTACAGTACATACAGGACCCCACGTAGCCTGTTCTCAACACAGACAACAGCCTTGACACACTGCACCCTTTACAAACTGCACCTAACACATATTACGCCATACACAAACAACACCCTACACATACTGCACCCTTTACATATTCCACCCATCAAATACTGCATCCTTAACATACTGCACCCTTTACATATTCCACCCATCAAATACTTCATCCTTCACATACTGCACCCTTTACATATTCCACCCATCAAATACTGCATCCTTCACATACTGTACCCTTTACATATTCCACCCATCAAATACTGCATCCTTAACATACTGCACCCTTTACATATTCCACCCATCGAGTACTGCATCCTTCACATACTGTACCCTTTACATATTCCACCCATCAAATACTGCATCCTTAACATACTGCACCCTTTACATATTCCACCCATCAAGTACTGCATCCTTCACATACTGTACCCTTTACATATTCCACCCATCAAATACTGCATCCTTCACAAACTGCACCCTTAACGAAAAGGGGTGCTGATTCATTTCCATTTCGACATAGTTTCCTACAACTTGGTTCAATGAGTCGACACATCGAATATGAAGAGACTACTACACCCAAACGATTCGACTATTGGCCACGTTTGAAGCCTTGGACAAAGAATCCTTTAAAGTGAATCCATTTGCAATCTCCGAAGGTGTCACTGGTATCTGCCGAGAGGTTACAAAGGACACGAAGCTTATGTCTGGCTTGCTTTTTGTAGGACATTGACATAGATAAAATTTGTCAATCTGTTCAAATTAATAGTATCTGTCAATATCAAGATGGTTGTCTAAGAGCACAAGACACTGAACTCCCCCGTGGGGACTGGGGGACGATAAACAAGAATGTGTCCTTAGCACCCCATTGCTGGCCGTAAAAGGCGACCGAATTGGGCAGCTTGTTTGCCGTGGGAAGTCCAACACACTACTTCCATTCTATCATTCTATCAATCGGTTGGTCATGTCATGCCCTGTGCAGACAATATTTCGCACAAGCATTTAGTATTTAAAAATAAATTTATTCACAAATGTCTATTCTAGTGAGTGAGTGAGTGAAATTTAACGTCACATCGGCAATATTTTAGCCATATCGTGACGAAACAGTTATAATAATTATATTTTGATTTGATTAAAAAGCTATCAACGATGGACAGTAAGATAACTAGAGTATCACAGTTTCGATTTTAAAACAAGTTGAGTACAGTTAAAAGAATACATTTTCATTCAACAACACAATATAAAAATGGGCTTTAGGTCATCAGCAACAAAAGTGAGGCCACCTCACTAGGGACCGTGGGGACTTGCATTTCTTTTGCTACCTGCACGGCTCCTATCTTTTCTAAATTTATGAATCTATAAACTTGCTCAGAGTCACATGCCCAGAAGGTGGTGGCTCATTGGCCAATCTGGTGATGCTGACCTCCGAATTCTATACTTCTCCAATTAATGGTCATGGGCCGAACCAGCCTGGCCCTTAATTTAGTAGATAGTTATACACTACTGCCTAGAAGTTCATTCCCCTTACACGCATGGGCAACGCGTTACGCAACCCGTGTGTAGTCACTCGCGTGGAACCCGTCCGCCACGCGTGTGCAACGCGTATCACACTCAATAGAGGGGGAACAAACTTTTGACCAAAGGAGGACCCATGTTTAGCTGAACCTTGAGGTGGTAACAAGGTGATAACCTTTTGATTTCCTGACGAAAAATGTTAATACACATTTTATTATATGTACTTGCTGATTTTTAGATGTGATTTTGTTGGAAAATGTCAGTACTGTTGTGGCTTCTACATGATGTATTGCGATGGTGTTAAAAGAATACATGATCCTGTTAAATGTTATTGCTATTCAAATGCTTTTTTGTGATTAAACATTAAACTTCTGTAGTACGACTTTCAGTGATCAGGTTTGGTGGAGCATTGTTTTTATTTGACCCAAATTACTTTATAATGGTTGGGTCTCTTTGTCTCAGCTCTACAGCCGTGACGCTGGGAAAGGGCAGCATTTAATTAATGAGAGCAGGTTATATCATGGAGGATACACTTGGAGGAGAGGGTTCTACTAATTACCGTACCACAGGAAAAGACCTGTAGACGTGAGCGCGGGGTTGTGTGTAAGATGGCCGTTGCATAATGGCCGCCAGGAGTGGTAAACATTGAGCTAAAGCAGTGTTGTTTTCACGGGCTTGTTGAATAAATTCCCAGCGCTGCTGTCCATATATCTTCTACTTGATCCTAGATACATCATTCTGGCATTTACAATATATATTTTTCAACATACATTAATGGTCATATCTTTTAGAGTATTTGTCAATTGTGTTGAGCTTACAAGCAATAATATATGTGGTGACATAAATATAAAACGTCTCATTTAAAACATGAAGTAAGTACGATAGTAAATGATAATATTCAAATCGCATTAAAATACAATGATAACAGGTTCCATATGTAACCCTAAAGCCTGTGTTCCACATCCATAGCCAGGAGGAAAGCTGTTGACTAAACAAAAGGAAGAAGCTTGCCCTTACATATATGTAGAGACATCATCTGGATATGACTATATATATATTTTATCTCTCTGTCATTATTATCGTTAACATGCGTCTACTTTTAAGTGTATATACGTATGCCATACATCGTACTGATTAAGGAATGACACATCTTCGTGAGATATATGTACTCCATACTCATGCAGCACAACGGTACTTTGATTCTATAGCACAGAAAATCGTTACCCCGAGTTACTGTGTAACAGTTCACCCCATGTTCTCAGACGTGCCATTCAGACAAATAAGTCAGGTGTGACAGTTATCACAATCTCACCGGTTATAAAGATTTGATACATGCCGACTGACACTCTTGATGGTTCAGTGATTAAGACAACAGACCTGTGCGAAGACGAGATTGTGACTGAACTGACAAACAAGGCGTAACAGCTGTCAACCGATTCAAATGTAACTTAAACATAAGAAAGGATAAGATTTATGGATGAACAGCTTCTTTATTACAAATAAGAGCGACGTTTCTGTGTAGGTTTTAACACAGTTATCAAGCAAGT